GAAATAACAAGTGTTGGAGAGGATATGGAGAAAGGGGAGCCATTGTACATTGTCTGTTGGTGGGAATGTAAACTGGCATAGCCACTATGGAAAACAGTATTGAGGTTTTTCAAAAAATTAAAAATAGAACTACCATATGATCTAGGTATTTCATTTTGGGTAATTATCTGAAGAAAATAGAAACACTACTTTGAAAAGATATATGTACTCTATTCCATTGCAGCATTATTTATAATAGGCAAGATACAGAAAAAAGGTAAGTGTCCACTGATGGATTAAATGGATAAAGAAAATGTGTTGTATATACTATTCAGCCATAAAAGGAAGGAAATCTTGATACTGTGACAATATGGATGGACCTTGATGGTATTGTGCTAAGTGAAATAACTCAAAGAAAAATGAATACTGTATGATTTCACTTATAGGTGAAATCTAAAAAAAACCCCCCAAAAACAAATGGAGAAAAACAAAACCAAACACACAGATACTGAGAACAAATTAGTAGTTACCAAAAAGGAAGGTGATTGGGGGTGAGCAAAATGGGTGAAGGGGGTTTATTGTATGGTGACAGAAGTTAATTAGACTGGTTGAGGTGATCACTTTGTATACAAATATCAAATTATTATGTTATATACCTGAAACTAATGTTACATGACAATTTTACCTCAATTAAAAGAAAACAAGATAGCAAACCAAAGCATTAAAAAGAAAAGGAATATAAGTTGTGACACCGTAAAAGTCCTAGAGGGAAACATAGGCAGGAAAATCTCAGATATTCCATGCAGCAATATTTTCATTGATAATGTACCCTGGAGCAAGGGACATAAAGGAAAGAATAAATAAATGGGACCTCATCAAATTAAAAAGCTTCTGCACAGTTAAAGAAAACATCAGCAAAATGAAAAGGGAGCCAACTGTATGGGAAAACATATTTGCCAATGATACCTCAGACAAGGGTTTGATCTCCAAAATATATAAAGAACTCATATGACTCCACTCATAACCCAATTAAAAAATGGGCAAAAGACCTGAACAGACACTTCTCCAAGGAGGACGTACAGAGAACCCAGAGACACATGAAAAAATGCTCAGCATCACCAGCCATCAGAGAGATGCAAATTAAAACCCCAATGAGATACCACTTCATGCCGGTGAGAATGACCATCATGAACAAATCAACAAACAACAAGTGTTGGGGAGGATATGGAGAAAAGGGAACCCTAGTGCACTGTTTGTGGGAATGCAGACTGGTGCAGCCACTGTGGAAAACAGTATGGAATTTCCTCAGAAAACTAAAAATGGAACTGCCTTTTGATCCAGCAATTCCATTGCTTGGGATTATATCCTAAGAATCCTGAAACACCAATTCAAAAGAACCTATGCACCCCAATGTTCGTAGCACAATTTACAATAGCCAAATGTTGGAAGCAACCTAAGTGCCCATCAGTAAATGAGTGGATCGAAAAACTGTGGCACATTTACACAATGGAATACTACACAGCAGAAAGAAAGAGGGAGCTCCTATCCTTTGTGACAGCATGGATGGATCTGGATAGCATTATGCTAAGTGAAATAAGCCAGGCAGTGAAAGACAAATACCATGTGATCTCACCTATAAGTGGAACCTAGTCAACAAAACAAACAAACAAGCAAGCAAAATATAACCAGAGATATTGAAATAAAGAAAAATCTGACAGTAACCAGAGGGGAGGTGGGAGGGGATAATAGGGGGAAAGGGGAGAAGGGTCTTCAGGAACAACTATAATGGATACATGGACAAAACCAAGGGGGGAGGGTGGAATCAGGGGAAGGAGTTGAGGACAGCTGGGGTAGAGGGGTAGGGGGTAAATGCAGACAACTGTACTTGAACAATAAAATAATTTTTTAAAATATAGTTTATTGATTATGCTATTACAGTTGTCCCATTTGCCCCCTTTATTCCCCTCCACCCTGCATACACTCTCCCACCCACATCCCCCCTTTAGTTCATGTCCATGTGTCATAAGTTCTTTAGCTTCTACATTTCCCATACTATTCTTACCCTCCCCCTGTCTATTTGCTACCTATCATCTATGCTACTTATTCTCTGTACTTTTTCCCCCTCTCTCCTCCTCCCACTCCCCTGTTGCTAACCCTCTGTGTGATCTCCATTTCTGTGATTCTGTTCCTGTTCTAGTTGTTTGCTGAGTTTGCTTTCCTTTTTGTTTTAGGTGTGGTTGTTAATAATTGTGAGTTTGCTGTCATTTTACTGTTCATGTTTCTTATTTTCTTTTTCTTAGATAAGTCCCTTTAACATTTCATATAATAAGGGCTTGGTGATGATGAACTCCTTTAACTTGACCTTATCTGAGAAGCACTTTATCTGCCCTTCCATGCTAAATAAAGGCTTTGCTAGATAGAGCAATCTTGGATGTAGGTCGTTGCCTTTCATGACTTGGAATATTTCTTTCCAGCCACTTCTTGCCTGTAAGGTCTCTTTTCAGAAATCAGCTGACAGTCTGATGGGAACTCCTTTGTAGATAACTGCCTCCTTATTTCTTGCTACTTTCAAGATTCTCTCCTTCATTTTAATCTTGGGTAATGTAATTATGATGTGCCTTGGGTGGGAGGTAAATGCAGACAACTGTACTTGAACAACAATAAAATAATTTTTAAAAAAATAAGAAAAGGAAAGGTACCAGACCCATTTATGTAATCATCAACTCTTCTCATCTACAAGAGGGACTATCCCTTTTTAGTTTTGCTTCCTTTTTTAAAAAGAGCTAGGATTTCCTGTTCCAGAAGGGAGTAGAATTTAAATTAAAAAGCATCACATTATCTTCAGTTTCCTTTTAAGTTTGAATGATGTTCCAACAATAGTTATTTCATGGGGGTTTCCAGCTTTGAGAAATGAGTCAATAATTAAACTCTTTATTACAACTTTAGCTATGCCCAGGGAGAGAGTTCTGCTCTGTTCTTCACATTATACAAAATTCTCACCTTATTCATAGTGCTCTTCTATGCATTTAAAAGGAAATGTACAGGGCTACAAGTAAAACTCATTCTTCCTTTTATTCTCCTCTTACTTCCACAGGGCCTTTCTAATCAGTGAATCATATCCTGCTTGTCCTTGTTTAGTGTCCTTAATCCACAAGATCCTATGCAATTTTGGACATCTTATAGCTGATAAATAAATAAGAATAGCTTATTTTCCATCCCATTTAAGAGTCCCTCCCCCTTTTTTTGGCCCTGGTTGGTATGGCTCAGTGGATTGAGCACTGACCTGTGAATTGAAAGGGTGCTGGTTTGATGCCTGGTCAGGGCACATGGTTTGATGCCTGGTCAGGGCACATGGTTTGATGCCTGGGTTGCAGGCCAGGTCCCCAGTTGGCAGGTGTGTGAGAGGCAACTAATTGATGTTTCTCTCACACATTATTGTTTCTGTTCCTCTTTCTCCCTCCCTTCCCCTCTAAAAATAAATAAAAGTAAAATCTTTAAAAAAATTAAATAAATAAGTAGAGGCTCTTTTTTTCTCCCTAAATCTATGTTAATCAATTCTGGTTATTTGGAGAAAAAAAATTGCAGCTCAAAATATAGCTATTGCTTCAACTGCTTTTAACAAATAAAATGTTTTAAAAATATATGGCCATTACATAGATAATAATGATGATAATTACATTTCCACGGTATATAAAAAGGGAACTACATAGAGGTGGTGTTTTACTACTTGAGGAGAAGCACGTTTGGATGGAAGGAAGTAATGAATTAGGGCATGTGGAGAATAAATAAATGAAGGAATGATGGACTGGATCTGGCTTGACATTAATAGAGTCTCTATCACTGGGTCGGGCAGCATGGCAGTTGGATTAGCCTGCTCTCTAAAGGTTGTCCAGTCCTGCTTCCTGCCAAGATTTTAATGAGGTTTAACTGTAATCCTTTTCTTACCTCCATCATACGTTGTGGCAAGTTTTAGTACATCAGCATGGTAAAGACACGAATGTATAGCCAAATGGTTTTCTAGAAGTTTCTGACAAAGGAGATAGAGGTTTTGGTTGTTATTTCCACCTCCAATCTTGCAATTTCAGTCATTGTCATTGTTGTGGAAAAGTTTTTAAAAATTTTTTAAATCCTTACCTGCAGATACGCTTTTTTTTTAATTTAAGAGAGAGAGATAGGAAAACATTGATGTGAGAGAGAAACATCGATCTCACATTGAGTGGTTGCCTCCTATATGCAACCGACTGGGGATTGAACCTGCAATTCATGTATGTGCCCTGACCGGGAGTCAAACCTGCAACCTTTTGGTGTACATGGGATGATGCTCCAACCAAGCCACCCGTCCAGGGCTTTCAGAGAAAACCTTAAAAGGTATTTGAGGACCTACATGACATGGACTCTTTACCTCTCTGACCTCATCATCATCTCTACACTTAACTCAGCTACATTCACTTCTGAGTCACCCCAGTTTTCCTCAGACGTGGCAGGAAGGCTCCCACTTCTGTCTAGCTCAGTGTTGGCCAAAAGTAAGCCACACGTGCAATTTTTAAATTTCTAGTATCCACATTTAAAAAGAAAAAAGCAAGTGAAGTTAATTTTATTAATATACTATGTTCAACCCAATATATTTAAATAAGTTTTACTTTCTTTTTTCTCCTTACTACGTGTTTGAAACCTGTATTATACTGGCAGCACATCACTTTTGGACACTGAATTTTTTTCAGAGATAACTTGATCTGTATTTAGAGTTTATAAAATTTATTGTTGTAACAGATCCACATTCATGAGTTGATCCAAACATACTTAAATTTTTTTAATAAATCAAGGTAACAGTTTTTAAATTTAAATAAAATTAAGTGAAATACAATTAAAAATTAAGTTCCTTAGTTACCAAGTCATATTTCAAGTGCTCAGTAGCCATAGGTGTTATTGGACAGTGCTATTCTAGCTATTGTCTGTAATGTACAAGGGGGGACCCCAAAACCCAGAATTTATTTATAAACAAATTGTATATTTATTCTTACCTGTTTAAACTTCAGTCACCTTCAAAGTACTCTCCATTTGGTGCAGTACACCTACTGAGACGTTTTTCCACTGCTCTAAACAGTTTTTGAACTTGTCGATTTTTAGGCTTTTTAGTGCTTCTGCTGTTTTTTGTTTCACCTCTTCCACATATGCAAAATGTTTCCCTTTAAGGACTTTTTTCATCCAGGGAAATAAAAAAAAGATGCTCTGGTTGAGCTCAGGTGAATAGGAGGGTGGGGCATGGGTGTCATACCATTTTTGGTCAAAAATTGCTAAACACTCAGTCCAATGTAGGCAGGTGTGCTCATAAATTACCCACCATGAAATGGGCAAAAGTGTTGAAAGAGTCTTAAAAAAAAATGCACTGAAGCTGAATGCAGCCTCTCACCAAGATGTCAGCTGATACATTGTTACAGATGGATTCCCAGAATACTCACCTAGCAGGCAGAAGCCTGTACTACAAGGGGCCTCTTCTCCAAAAAATAATTCCATTTCTTTGTCCCCCCCACCACACCCTGCACACTTTTCTACAGATAACCACTTGGCTAACTGCCTCACCTCCAAGTTTTTGCACAAATCTCACTCTTAGTGAGGCCTATCTTGACCACTCTATTTATTTCTACAACCTCCCCCTGGTTCTCCACATTCCACACTTCTAATCTGCCCCACTCCACTCTGCTTCATCTCTCTTCACCTAATTGTTCATTTACTATTTTCATTGCCAATTGCCTCCCTCCCTTTCCTCTGCTACTCCATAGATGTAAGTTCCTGAGGGCAGAGATTTTGGTTTTGTTCACTAATTTATCCCAGCACCTACAATAGTTCTTGGCCTATAGCAGGTACTCAGTAAACATTTAGATTAAATTTATTAAATGAATGAATCATTATTAAACCTTGTTGAAAATATTGATATATGTGTATATATACATACATACTAGATTCTGGTATAAATCAGAGTTAAAAGCACCATTGACCAATCCTCTTTCTCTTTTAAATATTTTATTGTTTGTGTTATTACAGTTGTCCTAATTTCCCCCTTCCCCTCTCACACCCAGCCCCCCAGCCTCACAGTCAATCCCCACACTGTTGTCCATGTCCATGGGTCATGCATATATGTTTGACTAACCCATATATGTTTGACCTTCTTAAATGCATCTTGAATGCATTTTCTGTACCTTATGCTGTTTTAGGCTGGAAGTGGTGGGGAAAGAAATGAGGAGTAAAAAAGAAGCTTGTAATCTAGGTAGGAAGGCAAGACTCACAAAAATAAAATATGAAAACTGCTGCATCCTGTTGCAAACACTGGAGAATTGGCTTAAAGTATGGTGCCTCAGTTTGCACTGCATATAGTATATTCCCTCAAGAATTTCCCAGTAAGCATTTAAGTACTTACATGTTTATATATCATTAGCTATTTGACAGAGATTTGAGGAACATGACAAACAGGAAAACTAAAAGTATTACAAAACCTATCATTGAAAACAATGACAATGAAAGGATAATTTTAGTTCTAAAAATTAAATTTAGCTAAGGCAGTCTTTTTAAGAAATGGTGTTGGAACAAGTTGACATCCACGTGCAAAAGCATGAATCTAGTCATAGACCTTATGCTCTTCACAAAAATTACCTCAAACTGATCATAGACCTAAGTGTAAAATGCAAAACTATAAAACTTTTAAAAGATAAGGTAAGACAAAACCTAGATGATCTTGGGTATGGTAATGATTTTTTTTTAGGTATAATACTAAAAGTATTACATATATAATGTATATAATCCATGAAAGAAATAATTGATAAGCTGTACTTCACTAAAATTAAAAATTTCTACTCTGCAAAAAATAATATTAAGAGAATGAGAAAACAAGCGACAGACTGGGAGAAAATATTTGCAAATACACATCTGACAATGGACTGTTACCCAAAACATGCAAAAAAACTCTTAAAATTCAACCTTAAGAAAACCTGATTAAAAATGTGCCATAGATCTTAACAGACACCTTACTGAAGAAGACATATGGATGGCAAATAAAGTATATGAAAAAATGCCCCATATCATATGTCATCAGGAAAATGCCAATTTAAACAAAAATGAAATGCCACTATACACCTCTTAGAATGGCCAGACTCAGAACACTGATGACACCAAATGCTCGTGTGAAAATGTCGAGCAACAGGAACTTTTATTCGTTGCTGGTGGGAACGCAATATGGTACAACCACTTTGGAAGACAATTTGGGGGTTGCTTATAAAACTAAGTATAGTCTTACTTTATGGTCCACTAGTCCTCCTTCCTGGTATTTACTTAATGGAGTTGAAAGCTTATGTTCCCACAAAAACCTGCACATGGATGTTTATAGCAGCTTTATTCATAATTGCCAAAACTTGGAAGCAACCAAGATGTCCTTCTGTAGGTGAATGGATAAACTGTTACATCCAGAATGTGGGATATTATTCAGCACTAAAAAGAAATGAGCTATGAAGCCATGAAAATACATGGGGGGGAGGAAAAGACATTTGATTAATACACATTAATCAAATGTGTATTACTGAGTGAAAGAAATCAATCTGAAAAGGCTACATATTGTATGATTCCAACTCTATGCCATGGTGAAATGGTAGATATGTGTCATTATACATTTGTCCAAGTACATAGAATGTAAAACACCAGGAGTGAACCCTACTGTGAACTGTGGACTGTGGATAATTGTGATCAGTCTGTGTAGGTTCACCAGTGATAACAAATGTACCACTCTGGGAGGGGGTGTTGATAATGGGAGAGGCTGTGCATGTGTGAGGGCAGGAGATGCATGGGAAATTTCTCTACCTTCCTCCTAATTTTTCTGTGAGCCTAAAACTGCTCCCCAAAAGTAGTCTTTTTAAATGTTGGAATTTACACAAATCTTTCAGAGGTTCATTTGTTATATAAAATTGGGGGGGGAATCATTTAGAACCAAGAATTACATACCAGTGGAATTGTTAATCATATTCATATTTCAGAAGTGAAAGCAATAAAAATGTTTATCTTCCATGCATCCTTTCTGAATTATTTTAGAATATATTCCCACAAATCAAAGATACATTTGAAGAGAGAAACTGTATAATACAAGAAATGGAAGAATTACCCAGGAATACATACAAATGATTTTCTGGTGTGGCAGTCGTGAGCCTGGAAAGCAGCTGGTCCAGATTAAAACTGGGCTTGAAGAACAAGCAGGACATGGCTTCCAAGCAATAGAAATAGAAGTTTAGGGCAATGACAGAGACAAACATTTTTCTCCTAACCACCACAACAACCAAGGCACTCAGAAACTCAAAGAAAAATAAGAAATTATAATGATACAAATATGAAGCAGACAAAAATAAGACATGGTTTTAACTGATTAGTGGAGTATATTCCACAGGAAGGGTTATGCATTTGATTGTGACACAAGAACACCTTAATTTGAATGTCGTCGTGATCAGGACATTGGAACAGCAGGGATGGCAACAATTCTGTTTCTTGGCTTTTACTGAAGAGTATTTACATGGTTGCAATGTTATAAATGATGTTTTTCATCTTTAATTTTATAATAGACCTATAATCAAAGTATGGGAGATTTTATTATAGCTGTAGAACAGAAGGAAAGTGTTATTAAGTTATAGCAATGTGAATAAAAGAACTGACAAGTTGGAAGATACAAGGCAGAAAAGAGATGAAAGGTGGGTTATGAGTAGCTAATGTCCTCCTATTACAGAAGGAGACCAGAAGGAGAATGTTGAAAGCTGGTGCTTTTAAATCCACTAAAAGTACCATTGCAATGATTAACATAGGAAGGAAGAAGGGATTTAGAATAATGTGAGTACAATGTATGTATGAGTAAAAAGTAGATTTGTTCTCAAGTTGACATGTGCGAATAGTGCAGTAGCAGTGTAAGTAAACACTAACAGTATAAACAAAATAACTTAAAATAGTTAAAAGTGATTATTTCTGGGAACAAATGGAGCAGGGGTTGTTGTATATAAGCTCTGAGATATTTGATGCTAAACTATTTGTAAGTATTGTATAAAATTTTTTAATTGAAAAAGTTAACTTCATGAGGCATTAGATACTTTGAAACTGATGTATTTGGAAAAAAGGATAGTTATAAGCCAATATTCTTTGGAGTAAAAGCAAATTATATATTTGTAAGAAAGAATGTGCCTGTTTTAAAGACTTCTCCTTTTCCTAGCAATGTTGTGATTCCCAAACTTCCTCCTCTTAAATTTGTCACCATCACCAGACAATATCTTGAGACCAAGGACTCTGTCTTAAAATTTTATGTCTCTCACCTGACCAGACACATAGCACTCAGTAACTATTTGTGAGTTATTTGTTTGTGTAAGCCTTGTGTGCACTTAAGGTTCAGGTTATCCTATTCAGAGGCAGGGTGAAATATAGAGGTATCACATTCACTTGGCTTTAGTTTCTGTTCAGCGCCTAGGAAAACACCGAAAACTCTGTTTCCCACTTGCCGTGCTCCTCTCACAATTGTGAAGGAATAAAGTTGATTTATAATATCAGAGCATTGGCATTGAACTCTGTGGTTTGGCATATAGTGGACTACTCAACTTTTTGGTTTTTTATTTTTTGAGTAAATATTTGAGTGAATGACTATCTTTGCAGAATCATATGGATACTGAGAATCCCACCAAAATCTAATCTCTCGAGTGGCCTGTAGAATCAGTCACTGGAGAATGGGCCCTGGCCTGGAGAGTTCTGCTGTTGTTGAGTCCTGTGTGCTGTGTTCTTGCATCTCCTGTTTCTAGAGAATATCTTTTAAGTATCTGTTCTTAGATTAATAACTTCTTTCTTCTAAAGTACTTTATGAGCACAAGGGAACCTCTAATTTTACTAATGCTATATTTCAATTCTTGGTTTTCTACCTTAATTAGTGTCAACATTGTTCTCAGTCAGAAGTCCCATTTATCATCCATTGCCCCAGAATCTTGCTTTGCATGTTTTGGAAGCCTCCTTCTGAAAGGATAGAATGCAAGGGGGTGGGGTGGGGGTTGTCATGTGCCCTTATTGCTTTTCCTCAGAGGTGGTTTATTATCCAAAATCAATGAATTAG